TTTTATTCTGTAACCTGATTTTTCTGGTAATTGATAACAAAAAATAATAAATTCACAAAATATGTTATGTGTTATTATGTTAATGTGGAGAAACCATGATATTTTTCTTTTCTCTTATTCATTTTATGAAATTTATTTATTTCTGTTTTGTAAAAATAAATTCTGGTTTGGTCACTGTACTGAACCAGTACAAAACAAAAGCAATCCTGGTCTCATTTCACACATTTTATATGTAGCACCTCCATCTTTTGTAAAAAAGATGAAGAATGTGGATGCAAAGAATGAAGAAACTGTAAATTTTTGTGTTCAGATAACAGGAAATCCAAAACCGAAAGTCAAATGGTAAGCTTTTAGCTTCTTCCATCACATTAAATGATGTAAAAATAAGATTTGATATTAAAAATGCTAACAAAAAGGAATAAGTAACTATTGTAGATGTATTTGTGTCTAATTACCTTTGACTAGTTTTAATTGTTGGAGAAGGATTTCTTACAGAAAAAAAGTTAATGTAAACACATGCAGGATCCAAGTCATATCTTGGGGAAAATATCATTAAACTTTTCATTGGTGTTTTAACTATCTGTTCATTACCAATCCAGAAAGAAAGAATTGAAAATGAAAATGTATTTGCTTTTTTTTGAGTAGCCAGATAAATATGCAGAATTAAAAGTAGAATTACAGTGCCACCTTTGTTTGATTTTAAATCTTCAATTTCTCCAGCCACTGTTTTAAAGTACTGTAAGAATGTATAAACACAGAAGTAGCCCAAAAGTTGCCGTCTCTCTGCATGAAGATTCCATTTAGGAATGAAAGAGAAACAGGGTGTTGGATATTGTTAAAAATCTATAAAATATTTATTTTTAAGTATGTGGATTTCACATGTCTGCACTCCTCATGCCCAGCACTGCCTATACTACCAAAACTGGCATATTTCATCACTCAAAGTATAAGAGAATTGCAGGTAGATTATGGTTCTATTTAAATACTTTGTATTATTTCTGAAAAAAAAAGGGAATCTATTACTGAAAAAGTATAAAAAAAACACTTGAATTTCTTCATCATTTACCATGGTACCAGATCTACAGTTTTTTGCATTCAAACTAGTTTTAAACAAAAAAACATCTTCATGACATGTCAAAATATCTACGTGCTACGAGCAAGGAGGGGTAGAAATATGGGGTTAAAGGTCATCGTATGAGAGCGTAATGAAGCAAAAGTTCAATGAGATACTTCTTGAATTTTAAACTTGATATTGACTTTTTGTCTCTAATTTTGTCAGTCCTTTTGTGTGTGTGGCCTGGGTACTCCTTCACAAGTGCAGAAATTACCTGTTTGCCAGAGAAATTGAACATTTTTCTTCTTGGATGAATGAACAAATAATACTTAATCATGTGATAAGCCAAGGATTTTGTAACGATGGAAAATATTTTTAGGCCCAAAATTGAAGAGCATATCTTAGATCCTTATTATGCAAATACTGACTTGTAATCCTATCGTAATCTTTTCTTAATTCTAAATGGTTGCATCTAATGTGAATGAAGAACAAAGGATGATTAATTGAGAATTCCAAAGCTCTCATTTAAAATGTTTACCTACATAAATTTGGCTATAAGAAACTTAACTTGTTACTCCTTTATTATCTATGGAAGAGTTTTTCCATTACTTTAAGTGGCATAAAGGTATGGGTGGAAATAATGTCTAGTGAGCGTAAATATACGAGTGTAGATGATAAGGGATTAATGACCATGAATTAAACCTATCAGTATAAGTATGAAATTCCTTGAAGTAATGGACCAGTCTACTAACTTTTGTTTGAAATTACAGATAATTTCCAGGAATGGTTGACTTTTTTGATTTCAGGTTTAAAGGCTTTTAAGTTTGCTGATTCATTATTTTTATTGTGCATTGTTAATCTTTTCTGGAGTATTTATATGAATGGATTCTCAAGTTTTAAATGAAATTTTATCTTGTAATTATTGTATGATCCAACATTTTGATATATTAATAGGCTGAAAGACTCAGATGAATTGACATTGAATGTGGATGATACTCATTATAAAATAACAGAAGATGGAGATTCATATACTTTAGTCATTGACAAAGTCACAAGTAATGATGCTGGAAAGTATACGTGTGAAATTACCAATGAGTATGGAACAGAATCTACCACAGGATCTTTGAAAGTGACAGGTTAGTAAACAGACCATAATCCAAGCTAGAGTTTTACCAATGAATATGGAACAGGATCTTTGAAAGTGACAGGTTAGTAAACAGACCATAATCCAAGCTAGAGTTTTACCAATGAGTATGGAACAGGATCTTTGAAAGTGACAGGTTAGTAAACAGACCATAATCCAAGCTGAGTTTTACCAATGAGTATGGAACAGAATCTACAACAGGATCTTTGAAAGTGACAGGTTAGTAAACAGACCATAATCCAAGCTAGAGTTTTACCAATGAGTATCGAACAGGATCTTTGAAAGTGACAGGTTAGTAAACAGACCATAATCCAAGCTAGAGTTTTAAACATTTTCTTCCTTGAGAGTGATGAATTTCCTAAGGTTTGTGTTTTTTTTTTAAACAAAATTCTTGTTTCATTTATGCATGCAAATGAGTACACGAAAATAAGTACAGAAACTGCTAGAGTATTAGTTATTACTTAAGGATTAAAATTAATCTAGTTGTTGGTGAAAGTTTCTATAACTTTTGGTTTAATCTGAATTATCTCGTGTTAAGGTAAACCCACTCTAAAGTTCACTCAAGAACTGTCAGATGTTGTTGCTACTGAAGGAGACAATGAGCTACAGCTGTTGGTAAAGACTGAAGGAGCACCAGCATCTCAGATTAAATGGTAGGTTTACGTTCAGATCTTGTGTTTTGTAAAGATGCTGAACACTTTTTTCTCTCTGAGTTGTGGTATCTTGTGCAGATAAAGATTGTGAATGATGACACAGTAAGCTTGATGTTGTTTTTAAATTTTAGTTCATGTGTTAATGAAGATTTTTACGGTAGAATTGACGATTGAAACTTGTCAGCTTTCATTGTTTTACCACTTACTTTCTAATTTCTGCTAGAACTTTTTGGTAACATTTAAATTAGCAGTATGAAAAAAGTTCATAAAGTAATTCCGAAGGAAGGTTTACTTGATTAACTATTTTAAATATCATATGTTTTTAAATCAAAGGTACCTTGATGATAAAGAAATAACTGAAACTGAAAATGTGAAAATATCTACTGATGGAAATGCTCATAGCTTAACTATTAAGCGTGTGACAACTGAATCAGCTGGTACATACAAGTGCAAAGCTGTTGGTGATCAGGGAGAGGCTAACACTAGTGGAGTACTTACTGTTAATGGTAAGTTATGTAGTTAGAAACTCTAACTTTATGGAGAATGTTATGTAGTTGCATGAAAATTAATTTTTTGGTTATTAAAGTAGTTGAGCTTCAGTGTAAGCAAAGATAGTTATGTATCTTCAGATAGGGAAACAAAGACAGACTTTGATTAGGTTTCAGAAATGAAAATGCAGAAAGCTATTCATGCAGATATAAGTAATAAGACATGTATGTAAGTATGTTCTTTTTTTACCAGTTTATTACCATGTTGAATGTTATCCCTAGTTCCTGCCAAGTTTGGTCAGAGCCTCAAAGATACTGATGGTGCTGAAGATGAAAAGTTGTCCTTAACTGTAAAAATTGCAGGACAGCCTAAACCTTCAGTTGCTTGGTGAGTTTCTTGTGTATTTTTTATAAATTTCAATGGTAGAAGTTCACAATATTGTTTATAACCTATTCAAACATTTTCTGTTATTCTGAAACCAACTATTTGTATCTTCATAAAAATAAGGCTTTATGTATTGCTAAGTTGTGTGAATCTTAGGAGCAAACAACTGGTTTTTATGGGTATGTAATACATATATATTATGACGTACTTCATACTTCTTTAAAGTTAGTTTCATTACAATTTATTATAATGATTAAAATTTATATTTTTCTTATTGTTTCTTTAATACTTTTAATTTTATAGTTAAGATTACTTTATATAGCTAATTTTATATATACCTTAACTGAAATGTCTTAAACTGGTCAAACTTCACAGAATATTATTGAGTTTATGATGGCAAGGGTAATTTACTGATGAATCAGTACATTCTAATTATTAGAAGTTTTCGTTTTTTTTATTGAGTTATGACATTATTTACTTATTGTAATTTGATTTTATATAATTGGCTTTTTAAACTTTTAAGTTGGTTTCAGTTCTGATAGTTTACATACGACCAGAACTTATTAATAATTATTTCAAAGGAAACATGAAAGGAAAAACATCAGAATATGTTTTGTAATTTGGTTTTATATAATTGGCTTTTTCAGATTTTAAGTTGGTTTCAGTTCTGATAGTTTACATACGACCAGAACTTATTAATAATTATTTCAAAGGAAACATGAAAGGAAAAACATCAGAATATGTTTTGTAGTTACGTATTTCCATTCGTATTAATATACTTTCCAGACAATGCTGATCTGTTTAAACTTATAGTTCTTTTAACAACACAGTAATATTTTGTTAACTCTTTAATTAAGAGGCTGTTTGTTCTATCTTAGGTTTAAAAGTCACTTTAAAGGTAAATCTAATGAAGTATAGTACTGTTGAAGACTGACAAACTTTATAAGTTTAAAACTGAATCACAGATGTAGAGAAAAATTCTAAACCAGAATTTTCATGGATATTATGAAATTGTTCATAAAATATGATTGCTACATTATTATATTATCCCTATTTGATTGTCAATTTAAAAGTCACAAGTAGCCTTACAAACTGTACAAAATTCATTAATATATATGAAACATTATTTAATTATGTAGTGATAGAAATCTGTTTTAATTTCATTCAATACAGTAATTGTTAAATTTAAAAAATGATTAACATTGTTATGCATTCATTAAATGGTCTCACCTCACTTGCCAATTGCGTTTTATCTCAGTTTTTTCAAAGGTATATTTCAAAGTCATTGTGATGAATGAAATTATTTTTGTGTTCATTTTTTAGTCATTCTCTAACATTTTTTATTAGAAACATGCCCAGCATTAAGGTTAGGTAACATAGGCAGCTGCCAAGAGCACTGAATTCTCAGGTGCTCTAGTGTGCATAATGATGCAATAGTTTCTTCCTATGGTGCCAATTAAACTATCGATAGCCTCTGGAAACAGATTTATTTATGCTTAATATGGTTTATAATTGCTAACGTAACTTTGCGTATTTCTTGTTTATTCCACTTTAATTTATTTTTAGATATTGTTACACTAAGTTTATGTAGCAATGAGACTAACGTAATGCGAGTCGAAGCTAATGAACATAAAAACTCAAACCTTTAAGTACATAAAGTCAACTATGTGAGCTTACACTGTAATAACATGTGGTTTGTCATACTGTTGATCTCTCTTGATTTTTTTTCTGGGAGGGGGGGGGGATATATACATCCAGTGCTATGCAACATTTAAAGCTTTAGTCAGAAGTTTATTTTTAATTTTCCTAAAATTCTTAAGCATAGTTAGTCCAACTGATTAAAGCAAGATATACATTTTAGTTTAAATATTGGAGGATAGAATTTTGATGAAGTATTAGTGAGTTTCCATTTGTGTTAGTTTTTTTCTCACATACTGTTGATTAAAACAACAATTTTTACCTTAAAAGTAAAACATTTTCAGAACAGTTAAAATGTTTAACATTATATAAAGGCATTAACAAACTCTGTGTACTTAGGTTAAAGGATGAGGCAGAACTTACCATTGATGGAAAACACAGAAAAATTATTGAAGAGGCTTCAGATACATTTACTCTGGTACTTGATAAGCTGACTCAAGAGGATGCTGGAAAGTATACTTGTAAGATCAGTAACAAATATGGAGGTGAAGAGACTAGTTGCAAAGTTAATGTCTGGGGTAAGAAATATAAATGTTAGAAATAAAATTGATGTAAATTCTTATTATGATTTAAAAAAAAACATTTCTAGTGTCATCAATATAAGAAAACCCTGTTTGCTGTAAAAAGTAATAGTTTTTCTTAAGCCTGTACAACAAATTTAATAGTATGTATAGTTATGATAAATAATGCTTTGAAGTTACTGCTATACAAGGAATTAATGATATTAAGAAAATACATTGAAAAAAAAAAGATAGATGAATCATAAAATTTAAGGAACATGATAATTATGCATTTTCAGAAGGTATACCTTTCAAAGCACTCTGGTTAAAATTTTTTGTTTTCTCTTATGGGCCTCCCAGTGGCACAGCGGTATGTCTGCAGACTTACAATGCTAGAAACCGGGCTTCGATACCCGTGGTGGGCAGATCACAGATAGCCCATTGTGTAGCTTTGTGCATAATTACAAACAAACAAATTCTCTTATGGAGTAAAAATATTATGTTATGTTTCATCTCAGTGATGGCTTTAGATATTTTTGAATTCATTTACTTGCTCTTTCTCTCTTTTTATTCTTACAAAATGATATGTATATATAAATATGAAATATTTATCACATCAGCTCAACCCAAGTTTACTCAAAAACTGAAGGATGTCCAAGCAACTGAAGGTGAAAAAGTTTCTTTTACTGTGAAGATAGCTGGAACTCCAACACCTACAACTAAATGGTTTGTAGAGTCGTTTTCCATGGTTTTGCTCTAAATAATTATACTTTCTATACGTATTGATTTGTTTTAATTAAAGTTGTAAACAATTTTTGATAAATAATTATTTTTCAGTCAACAAAATGGAAATTACAAACTTGTCTATTCACATTTTAAATTTATATTCATTAGAATTTGACATCTGTTTGAAATGATTTTTTTTCTGTTTTTGCCAGAAATACAGTATATTTCATTTTTCATTATTCTAGTTCTTTATCTTTAGGGGAATATTTTGAATTATTAAGATAAACTTGAATGGTAAGATTATCAAAAAAAAACTCTCCAGTGGCTCAATGGTAAGTTTGAAGGCTTACACTAAAAACTGGGTTTTGATACCCGTGGTGGGCACAGAACAGATAGCTACAGTACCTACAAACATGACCAAAATATTTTTTTTCTTTAAAAATAATTGTATGCAGATGTTGAATATACAAAACCAAAGACAATGTAAATATGTTTCAGTATGTTTTATTATCACAACATGCCATATTTAGAACATGCAAGTTGTATATATATGTTTTTTAGGTGTGATCCAAGTCAAAAGTCATTGTGACTTTCCAAAGTAACTAAAAATTAATAGAGGGTCTAGTATGTTATATTAAAATTATATTGGATATTCAAACCAGCAAATTATATGACAACCACAGCTGATATAATGCTTTAGTGGAATGGATTGTATCAGAAATACATTTTAATATTGTTGGACATTTCATATATAGTGTCATGCTACTTAAAACTGATCACTTTTAAGAAGGGTATGTAACAGCCCTTTTTGGCGCAAAGTATTCATACAGTTAGATCATAAAGATGTGTTCAGATGGAAGATTTAAAATTTCCAAGATGGTTATATCCCTTGTATGTATTGGCATTAGCAAAAGAATATGGATGAGCTTGGGGAACCAGGACCAATCAGAAAGAGACCTACAACTAGTTGTATGCTAGCCATAGTAAGTAAAGTGCAGTATCTTGTAACAGGTCAGAATCCACAGTCAGTGATAAAAACCGTACATGTGCCCCAGTCAACAGTAAACAATCTCATTAGTTCCTGCCACAAGCCACATGTATGCAAACTGCCCTCACAACACATCCAGGAGTGGAAGACCAACTATAGAAAACTACATGAATAGTATGTAGACAGCACAAAATAGCAGTATTTTGTGACACTAGACAAAAAAAGTATGTGTACCTTGATAACTATAACAAGTTTCATGTCATTTTGTATTATTCATTTGGTGAAATAAATTTCCAAAAGTGGTACATGATATGCTGCAAAACGTTTTTGAAGAGATTCAAAATCATTGCAGTATATTGCACCACGTGCAAGTTATGGATTAGGAAAATGGATACACAGGTCAAGGTGAACTCTACTTACTATCAGACCAATGTTCTGGTCCCTTTATATTACATAGAAATATTGGCTTTATCTGGAAGCGTGCTCAGCAGGGTATGGGTTCATCAAGATAAGGCTTTCAGACATACCTTCCTTTGAACTGTTGCAAGCAGTTGAAGAATGAAACTGATATTTGTGCTATTCCTTATGAAGATATACCAGTCACGTTGCTGGATGCAGCACCTATGGATTTCTGGGTGATCAGTATTTAAATGGGTGCTGGAAAATTATCATCTTCGTATGTTAGATGACTATGGAAAGCACCAGGGAGGAATGCTGTGGTTTGGACATAACAGCCTTATGATGAAGCATTTTGCAATGAAACTATGCTGTAAAGCTATTGTCAAGATGAATGGTGACATTGAATGTAATGATGTGGTAAGGCTCCAAAATCGTTTTAGTATAATGTATTCAACTCTCTGTAAATGTAATGAAGGTACTAAAATAATAAACATAAAAAAATTGTGGTTTATTTTTTGCTAAAATTTTTATGTAGTTATCATCAATTGAGTTATGAAATATTTGTATATTACGCTTACTGTAGTTTGAAAAATGAACACTATTCTCATATTCTAGAGAAGTATGCATGTCTCATTTGAATTTTATAAAATTTTCTTGTTCTGTTTTAGAACAAAGTTGTACATATGGTCTTCTCTCTTTAACTCCTTTACTGCCACATTTATGGATGATAACTCTCCCTGTGCCAGATTTATTTCTGATATACAATTAAACAAAAAGCAGTGTTTTAATATTTCATTACTTTGGTAAGTTTGAAGAGAAATATTCTTTCTGTATAGTGGTACCAAATTTTAAACTAACATGTAGTTAATATTACACTTTTCAAGTCTAAAACAAAGACTATATAAGGTGTTCTACAAATGTGTGCTCATGCAATGAGAGAATTAGATACTACCAGACTGATGGCTCTATAAATGTCTAGTTATTGAAAGAAATTTTACCATCTCAAACAAATAACCATCTTAAAACATTTAGTGGTGTTGTAGTATTTACAGAAAACATTTACATTATAAAAGTTGTAGACATGAAACTTCATTACAAGAGCTAACTCAGATATTCTTTTCCCAGACCATGTGGGCCATTCTAACCCTTTCAGTACTACATAAATCTTGAAAATAAATATAAGCTAGTTAAATAATATCTTTAGCTTGTTTTTTATTCGTTCAAGGCTAAATTTTCTGTTTGAATATATATATATATATATATATATATATATAAACTTTTCATGGGAGTAACCCTTGTATGGTAGTTATTTATAGTGTAAAATTACAGTTATGTTTACAAAGTTTATAGCTTGTTCAGTACTGATATTTATTCAAGGTTACTTTGCATGCTTATTTTTTTTTCTAAAATATCAAATATACATTCTTAATTTATATATCCATTAAAACATTTAATCTAGAGGAATGTTCCGTTTGTAAGCTGAAGTGATTTTTCTGGTCATTTTTCAGGTTAAAAGATGATGCTGAACTCACCATTGATGGAACACACTACACTGTAGTGGAAGAAGCATCAGATTCTTTCACTCTAGTTATTGACAGTACAACAAAAGATGATGAAGGAAAATATTCTTGTGAAATTAGCAATAAACATGGCAAAGACATCACGAGTGGCAAGTTGTCACTGGAAAGTGCTGGGTGTAAGCATACATTCAGTAGTTTACTTTTAGAAGTCATAATGTAACTTTAAGGATTCAGAGAGTAAAGATACTGATGAAATTTTCAAGATATGTGATGTCACTGATGGCAGAAACTAGGATTATGCATTTTTTTTTTCCACAGAAAAATTTAGACAGAAATTTACTCATATCACTAAGAAACATTTTGTTTTGTGTACCTACAATCTATTAAAGTACTAAGAGCCAATTTAAACATCTTGGTATTTTAAGTTGAAAAATATAAAAATCCTGGAATGAGTAAATGTGTTGTAAATCGTTCAGAAAATTTTATAATTGTTTTTCTATTAAAAATTTTAATTTCCTATCATAGCCAAACCCCAAATTCTGGATGGATTGAAAGACGTTGCAGCAAAGGAAGGCGAAAGTGTGGAATTGACGGTTAAAATCACTGGTTCTCCTAAACCAGAGATTAAATGGTAATTGTTAGTAAGAGTATAAGATACGATTTGCATAATACTTCAGTTTTATTGTTGTGAATTAACATTGAATTCTGTACACAAATACCGTATTGGCCTGATTATAGACAATTTCAAATATAAAGCGACCCCTTTTTTCAGAAACCATGGGAAAGAAAAATTGAGTGTCATAACATCCTTTTTTAGGTCTACAATATCAATATTATAACTGAACAGTCTGCAGGTGGATTAGTCACAAGAATTAGCAATGACCTTGAGCGAACATCTGACGCGAATGCGTAGAGGGATGCTGCCTGGACATTTAGGAAAGCGACATGCTAGAGAAGGGTGAAGAGCCCTGTGGTCAGCAAAGATTATAAGGCAACTATGAGTTTTACAGCCTAATTATTAATCAAAAACATTGCCTTATAATTGAGCCAATACGGTATGGTATTATCTAAGTGAGTGTAAAATATATAAAGCCTAATCTCCTTTACATAGAATGATATTTACAGTATGAGAAGCTATTTATTAAAACAGAACATATGCAGTCAACTTGTATTTTACTTCTGCTAGGTGTAAGAAATTCACTGTTAACTTGTCAATAGAATGTGCTTATAATACTTGCAGTTAGTTAATTATCACAATTTTTACAAAAGTTATTGAAGAATAAGAAAAATTTATGAAGGAGTTTTTTCCCTACAACTCTCAAATTTAAAAATGAATAGAAATTTAGAAATGGAATTAGATAAGAATAAATATATAACCAGAGCTTTCTTCATTTAAAAAAAATTCTAATCAAAGATTCTTTGGAGCTTCTGTAATGGCTATTCCTGGTAGAGATGATGAAGTGGGAATTGTTCTTAAGGTATTTTATGTAAAGTATGAAAGGACCCTTGTTCTCTGTTGGAAATCTGCATTAGGTATATGTAACTACTGGAAACATCAGATGTAAACAACAAGAACAAAGTCATACTCATTTTTACAGCTATAAAACACATGGATGTTTTTTTATAGAATTGTTAAATGTATTCTAGTTAAAACATATTTTTAGTAGTGATACACATTTTTAACGCCTAATTCTTTTCAGCTTTAGACCATAAATATTCCATGTGGTAGGAAAATGTTGCTTAACTTGGTCGAATGTTTGCAGGGAAATTTGAAACGCTGTTAAATATCGCAAAGATCTGTAGGGGTGTTGTAAAATTATCAGAGCCTAAAACTGTGAGATAATTAGAACATGTTTTTTCTGTGTATACATATCAACTGAAAGACACGTTTGCTACTAAATGCTTTTTTTTGTTCTTGTATTGATATATTTTAGTTAGTAATTACAAAACCCTCTTTAAAGAGTTAAGCAATAAAGTTAGTAAATTCTGTGTAAAGGGAATTACATTTGGACCTTTAGGACCAAAAATGGGGAAGATGCGAGTGCTGAAGCAACCATTACAATCAAGGAAGAGGCAGATGATGTCTATATCTTAAACATAAAGAAAGTTTCTGCTACTTTGTATGGTGAATATCAATGTCAAGCTACCAACACTCTCGGAGAAGCTACAACAAAGATGAAGTTAATGGAATTGAGTATGTCTTGAATATTCTTTTTTTTTAGTATTAATTGGAAATGGCACCACTATGGGTGGGCTGGAGTGGGCCGAGCACCCTAAAATTTCACTCGGGGCCACCTAAGTTCATTCTCCCTAGCAGTTTAAAAAAATCATATTATCAGTTTTAAAAAATCGTAGAACATTTTTAAATTGCTAAGAAGAGTTAACTTCGATGGGACAATCCATATAACTAATATCTTACTGACAACTATCAACAGAGACAAGAACACTAATGTTGGCCATATAGCTGTTTGATTTCTTAGTATCCGAAGAGTTAACATTTGATATTTGAAAATGTATGATTGTCAATCATTGTTAAAGCTTAATTTTTAGAATAGAAATGTACCTGTTTAAGTGTATAACCATGTAGTGAAGTTATTTTGCTTATAACTATAATAGCCTTTGATATTGTTGTTTCTGCAGATCTCAGTTTTCAGTAATTTGCAATAAAAGGAAAACAAGTTACTAGGAATGCAGCAATAAATTGGTAGGCTTTCAGTCTGCTCATGCGGTATTTGAAACATCTAGTAGGAAACATTATATATATGTTATCTTCTTTTGTTTGAATATTTAATTACTTTATAATTCTTGAAGAAAGAAATTTGATACAGTTAGAAGTTATTAATAAGATATGTTTAAATATGTCTTTTATCTTTTTTAAGTGGCACCCAAAATTTTGAAGGGCTTGCAGGACAAGGAGGTTTGGAGTGGAGAGGAAGCAAAATTTGAAATCAAAGTCTCCGGTCAACCAGAACCGAAAGTCTCCTGGTATGTTAGTATATTTGTTCTGTCTATGGGTCTTAGCAGATATTTTATAGATTGATTAATCAGTTATGGTCTTATTTGGTTAAAAGTAGCAGCATATGCTGTAGGTGCTTACCTTTTCTCTTCCAACAGTCCTAAACTAGGTAGCCTAGGCCATGTGTCTCATAAGGCATCATTCAGGTTGAAATTATTAATTAACAGAAACTGTACAGAGGAAAGAAGAATGTTGAAATAAAAATTGTTAAGCATTTTTTCCAGTGTGTTTTCTATTCATGCCAGTTTTGTAATTTTGTAGGCCACTAAAATTTTCAGTCTTTTTAGTGTGTTTTGTTAATGATTCTATTTTAGTCTGTAGGAATTAATTTTGTGTTGCTTTGCTGCACAAATTTAGTATAGCTTTTCAGATGTATTTCTGTTTGTTCTTAGGTTTATAGAAGATGAAGAGTTAACAGACTCTGACCACATGAAGATCACTTCACATGAAGGAACTCACTGTCTGTGTATATTAGACACTGAACTGGAAGATAGTGGTATCTACTCTTGCAAAATTCAGAATAAAGCTGGAGAAATTTGTCAAGATGCTATTTTAACTGTCAAAGGTAGGTCTGGTGAATATTTAATAAAACAGACAGATTGATTGGATTGATTCAATGTCAAAAAATTTGATGTACTAAATATTTGTTTGTAATTATCACATCATATAGTAAAAATATCTAAAGTCAAGGTCTTAAGCTTTACTTCTTTTCTAAAAGTTCAGGAATTTTTAAACTTGTTTAATTTATATTATCATCCATTTCTTTTTTGAAACAATTCAAATAATATACAGATAACTATAATAAGTGGTTAGCAGTGGAATAAAGCATGGGCAACAGTAAAATAAAGGGTCTACAGTAAATTCTCAGTAATGTATAACTCACTTGCTTTTTAGCTGTGGCATAGCAGCTCATAGCTCCATTGTCTCTTGACCGATTTGAGGTTTACTCTAATCATGCCTAAAATAATTTCAATTTGAGGATAGGCTGGTAGAGATCCTGATGAGTAATATAATCAAATCGAGTATACACTTGCCCCACCTTTGGTATTGCTGGTGCACAAAAATATAGCTAATAAAATAGAAAAAAAGGTCTTGTACATTAATTTTCTCTAATCCTACCAAAAAGAATTTCAAGTGCTGCAGCTATTGAGGATTCCCTCTTGTTTATTAATATTGTGTATCGACATTCAAGATGGACGTTTGGACCCACAGAATGTTGATACAGTAACATTCTATTAGCCCCAATGTTCTTCTTGCCTAGGACACCAACAATTCTTAATCCATCTCTGTAAGTGGTAAATTGTCTTTTCTTTTGTGTGGTTTGTTATTTTCTGGTTTCACGGTATTGTTAGAACTAGTGTGCCACAAGGAATTTTCAGTGTTTGTAAATCGGTTCTTGTTTTATGTTTCTGGTAGTTTCAAAACTCAAACCACTTACGGAAACTTGAATGTAAACTGTTAATGTACATTGGTTTTGACATGCATCAACAAAAGATGCTGTGTTATATTAGGCTAAGCAAAACACCAAATCATTCAAAGTTAAATAACATATTTGTTTACCTTAAGATTTGCGGGTCGAGTTCTTGTTTATCACAAGTAGGTTCTCTTTTTTTTTTTTGTTAATTACTGTATATAAAAGAAATCTTTTCTGCAATGTTTGTTGTAATAAAAAAAGTCATGTTAATATAGAGTTAAAATGTTCTTGAATATCAGAATCATAAAATTTGTTAATGATTTACTTAGATGAGCCAAGACCTAATTCCAGGATTTTACTCTGCTTTTAACTGAAGCTCATCTTGCAAAACATGCTTAGGGAAATATTTATTTTATGATAGAATTTGAATATGCATTGTGTAACTGTTTATGTATAACTCATTGAAGGTTATCTTTCAAAATATTTTACTTTCAGGAATGTTCTACAGACTTTCTTTTTTGAATAATTATTTATTACAAAATCAAAGAAAATTTTTTATTACAAAATGATTAAATAAACTGGGTATTCATTAAGTCATTCTCTACTGAGGATTCCCCTCCTGTCACAAGTAAAAACATCTGGGAATTTGGATTTGTAAAGCCTTACTTATTAATGGTTATAAGAATAGGTTTTCTATCTTTATTTTTTGTCTAGAAAAGATATTTATTAGTCAAAAATTAAGTAACAGTGTAACTGAAAGAAATTCTCTTGTCAGAGCACTAAGGTTTCTGTGTTTTTAAATTCTTTTTGATAATTTTATATGTTGTTTATAACATAATGAAATTTAAAATGAATAGTAATTGATAATATATAGTTTTTAAAAGTTTTGTAATGAAAAAAATAAAATAAAAATTGACTGAGACAGTCAATACATTATAGGTCCAACTTTAGCTTTGAAGAATGAGCATACTTAAAATTGTTTTTTATACATATAGACTATTAATACAGAATGTTTAGGGACTTTTTTTTTCATTGCTGCACATTCTGCAGTGCCTTTCATTATTGAAATTCTAATCAGTTTTGTTATGGTAATACAGATAGCGATGACTCTGAAGAACCAACTTTTGTCCGTAGAATGGTGGACACTATTGCTGTTGTTGGTGATGCTGCAAGATTGGAAATCAAAGTCACAGGAAAACCAAAGCCTGAAGTTTTTTTATAATACAATTTCTGCCTTTTCTCTCCATTTTCAGTCAATGTTTCTAGTTTTATACTTAGTACAGATCTTCGTTACTTTTAAGTCTAAAAAAACAGAGAACTCAGTATTGAACCTAAAACATTTTCTGAAGATCAAAAGATGAAGGAAACTATATACAAACACTTTCAACAAGTGAAAACATTGTCTAAGCTCATCTTAAGTTCAAGCAAAAATTTTGCTAAACATGATGGTTTCATACTCCCTACCACATACATTATAAAGTGATCTTCTAATGTAAAAATACTTAAAAAACGTACCATGCAACACCACCAGCATGACTTTATAGTTTTCCTATATTTATAGATATGTGTTTGCTAGAGAAGTCTTCTACTCTCTAGTGGTTAATTGATTGTATGATAAATAAGTATATGTAATAAGCATTTTAAGCAACATGTAATTTTATTAGTGAACACTATTTGCAGAATGGCTGATTATTATTGTAAAAAGAATGATTGTAATAAAATAACAGTTTCTTAATGTTTTTTATTTCATTATATTTTTTTTAAATGTGAATTTAGCGATTTTCAAATATTCTGGTTTATTTTTACCACATTGTTAACAGTGGAATTACCAGGGGGGGCGTGGACCTTACTGGGTTTTTCAAACACATTTTGTCCAAACTATTTATGTGCCAAATTGCTTGTTGTACCATGATTTTTAGTTAAAGGGTTCCTCATAAATGTGAGTCACACATAAAACAAAATTAAACAAAAAATACCACAAATACTGCATTTAATCCCCCTAATAACTTCTTATATTATTAATTTGTTTAACATAAAAATGAATGATTTCACTCAAATTTTATCATTTCTTTACACTGAGTGTTATATCAGGCCAAAAAACAAAATAATATACTATGATGCAATAAATGAATACTACTAGTATTGAACATTATATAAACAAAGTCAGTATGTTGTGGTTTAAGTTGATATTATTTCACATATGCAACTATAATGTATGATTCAGTTCTTCTTTTCACAAACTTGTGAAATAAATAAACATTATTTAATGCTTTCATTAATTTAGGTTCAAAGATGAAGAAGAGCTAACAGCAAGTAAAAGGATTAAAATTGCTGCCGATGCAGAACAAAATTTCTACTCTCTAACTGTTAAGGATTTGACACTGGAAGACACAGGAAAGTATTCTTGCACAGCCATTAACAGTAAGGGCTCAGCCAGTGATAAAGCCACCCTTACTGTGAAAGGTGAGGAAATACACTTGTTTGCTAATTATGAATTAACTATAATTCTGAATTTATTAAACATACCCTCACAAAATTTGGTAAGGTTTTAATAAAAAGTTCGTTGTAAACAACAAATCTGAAATTTTAATAAAGCATTTCTACTAAAGATTTGACTGTGAACTTTCCAAAGCCTTTACTGAGTCAATCTGAGTCCAAGGTGATTTTTATGTTAAGAATAAAAATACTTCATTTCATATTACAATTTTCATATTTAATTTGCATAACCTCTAGCACCTCCTAAATGAAAATCAAAATATTTATGTCGAAACTTTATATCGTTTGTTATTTTCTCTACTCTAAGACGAAATCGTTAATGAACAGTGAAAAGAAATGGTGAAAAAATTTGGAATAAAATTAACAGTATCTTCTTCTTTGAATGTATAATTTTGCTAGATTGTTGGTCTTCTTATCTTCACAATTTTAACTGTTAATCTTTTCTCATCTGTTCTAATTTTATGATTTTATTGCCTGTAATTTTGACTAACCTTCTCAGTCAAAAACAATAAATTGCAGCGTTAGATAGTTAGCCAACCGTCACGAGAAAAAGGCTTGTTTCATATGTGATTTCCACTCAGGGAGCATAAAGCTGAGCCTCCCTTGTTTTTAGTAAGTCACTAACAGTTTTTTTTTCTTTTAAAAGATGGTTGTAAATCAGATACAATAACTGTGAGATTAGTCTTCAACTAGTGTTCCTAAAGGGTGTGCTTAGCACTCTAATGTGTTGCAAGTGAGCTGGCAGTGTGCTGCAAAAAATACTGTTTTCCTACAGCCATTTAAAAAATACACAATTACCATAAAATACATTAGAATAAAAATTTTAATGATGATCAAATGAAATACAATTAAAAGACATTTTATTTTAATCCCACTGTTTAATTTTTAGATGTTTGCATATATGGCTTTATTCTCACTTTACTATGAGCACCACAATTAATGGTGTGATGTTTTTTTTCAGTAATTCCAGGTTTGCTTTGGTATGAGAAATTTGAGAAACACTGCTGTTAATTAACATGAACCAGAATATCTTACCAAAGATGTTTTTGGAGCTGTTTAGGTTATATCAGTATGTGTATTATCTACTTAAAATCAACTTAATCTGGCTGTCATTTAATTATTAGAATTTCATATTATTTTTTTACACTAGAGATGTATCGTCATCTTTTCGACCACCAGAAATTTTGTATTTATCAAAGCATATTTGTTTCATTAATGTTTTGGCCTAAGATAATTATCTTTCAGTCCTTATAATTTCTTTATAGTCTGTTGCTTTTTTTTCCATGCATCGAATAAGCTAGTGTTAAATATCTATATAAATATAACAGCACTATCTGTTTTCTATTGTATTTCCATGTAACTACTTCGCAGGATATGAATGGATCCTCATCAAAATTGGTATGGAGGTTCATGGTTTTGTGTTTTGCAATTTTTATGGGCGTTTTTGCACTTTTTACCACTACTTTGCCCCCTGTTGACAGATCTTCAAATTTGGCATGAAGGTTTGTTGGGTCCATGCAGAGATACATGCAAATTTGTGGTTTCACTTTTTCTGTTTTGCAGTTTTTATGGGTGTTGTTGCATTTTTTACAATTATGTATAAGGGAAGCAACTTTTCATGTCGTAAGATAACTCTTCAATAATCATGAATTTACATAACTTCCATTCCAGGGATGGGTACTCCAGCTAGTATTACAATAAAATCTTAAAACCGAACTAAAATTTCTGTTGTTGATACTCTAGAACCAGTGGCACCTGAAATAGATGGAATGAAAGATGTGGAAGTCAAGAAAGATGCAGTGGCTAAATTTGAAGTCAGTGTCTCAGGGTTTCCTGTGCCTGATATTAAATGGTAAGTTTGAATTATTTTCTCAGTGTTAGCTACAGCCTGTTATGTTAAAAAATTGTTTTGTTAATAAACAATAATTAAAGTTTAGCTGAGAGAAATGGGATTTTAACATATATTATTGTTTATTATTAAAATGTTAGTCATTAAATATACATTGTTTTTCTAAATCGTGCAATATTTAAGAGTTAAATGTTTTTGTAATATTTGTACCCAACATGATGTGTGGGATTAATATAAATAAAAAAATCCATGAAAGACTTGGCTTTATTTGTAGCTCATTATAATCACTACAGTAACAGGCATTAAACCGTTCTTTTAAAGCTTTTAAAATATAATTTATATGTGGTGATATGGTTTTTATCTGTTTTAGCTCAAACTTTAACAATTGTGAAAAAGTTCACTCAAATAATTTACAAATGCATGCAGGTTGAAAGATGGGAAAACAGTACATGCATCAGATGAGCTTGTTTTAACCAGTGATAAAGAAACGGGACTTTATTCCCTTGCAATAAGGAAAGTGAAGGAAGAAGATGTTGCTACCTACACTTGTGTGGCTTCTAATAGTGCAGGGGAAGTTAAAAAAGAAGCTAAAGTTACCATTAAAGGTCAGAAGTTGAAATTGTTGTCTGACTTCTTCAAAATGACAGTTTTATCACAGTTTAACATGCCATAATTTTAAACTATAAGATAGTAACTTTTTTGAATTTTTGTAGACTAAAAATCAAACTTTTAGCATTGTTTTTTAAATTGATAGAAGATGGAAACTATTTTGAATCTTTGTAAGAAATAATGACAATTTGTCTGATTTAAATAATCAAAAATTTTGTTTTCATTATTTTGGAAGCTATTTTTTTAGTTTTTTTTTAGATAAGTTGTTCTAATAGATCTTAATGAAAACATATTTCCACGTGACATATCTTTCTCAAACTGTTATAAATTAATTTATGGATTTTTGTATCTTTTACAGTTAGAAATAATGAAATTGACTGTTTTTGATATCTTTTTTTGTAATATATTTAGAATAGTCACTGATTTTATTAGATTGTGTAAATGTAATTATAGTGATTACTGAACTTTTTACATCTGGTTTTCTAATTTAATTTCTAAATTGTAATTATCTCAGAGTAATCTTGCTTACTACTGTAGTATTTCTGTAAAAGAGAAAATCAGAACAAAAGAATGAAATTGTTAAATTTATTTAACATTTTGTGTTATTTGCAACTTTTGGTACAGTTGAAATTATAAAATTCTTATGTTTTCACTTCTTTATATGAACTAAATTCTCCAAAATTCATGATTATAGTACAGAATCTTATTTTTAAAAGCAAATGGACTGAATAGAAATAACCATTGTTTCTCATGTGATGTAGCATGTGAAAAAAAAAATTCTTTAATTTTATATAAACTGCTGAACTGCTTTATAAGCTGAACATGTAAATTTTTGAAGCATTCAATATAAATGCTACAAAAACGTGTGTCTAGGGATGCTGAGGATGCCTTATTTTCTAGATCTTTTTTTTTTCCCATACACCAGCTCATTAGTTGAACACTTTTTTCAGGGTTATCAATGAGTGTCTTAAAAACACTTTTGATTGAAATCTTATCTAGTTAGAATTGTTATGAAGTTATAATCATCTTATTTCAATTAAAAATTCTGTATTATTACTTCATAATTATTTTTATCATTTGTCTCTGCTGCATAAAAGTATAATAAAACAAATGATACTTTTATATATTTGCATAAAATTGTACCGATACATAATGGTCATCATAAAGTAAGAAAATAATCTAATCAAAACATGATTTTCATAATAGATTGTTTCACAACAAACACTTTTTGATTTTTTCGTAGTGGAGCCTCCTACCTTCTTAAGAGAGTTAGTCAACAAAAATACACAGCTAGGTGAAACTGTGAGCTTGGAAGCTCGGGTAGTTGGTTTCCCTCAGCCAGAAGTCTCATGGTAGGTATTTTTTTATCTTATTATTTTAGTGCTAGTTGAACAGTAGCTTGGCATTGATGAATACAGAACTTTTTATAATGAGTTGGGAAAACGATTGTACAGCTTTTAAAACAACATCTATTATTTTAGTGTTAGTTGAACAGTAGCTTGGGCATTGATGAATACAGAACTTTTTATAATGAGTTGGCAACACGATTGTACAGCTTTTAAAACAACATCTATTATTTTAGTTTTAGTTGAACAGTAGCTTGGCATTGATGAATACAGAACTTTTTATAATGAGTTGGCAACACGATTGTACAGCTTTTAAAACAACATCTATTATTTTAGTTTTAGTTGAACAGTAGCTTGGCATTGATGAATACAGAACTTTTTATAATGAGTTGGGAAAACGATTGTACAGCTTTTAAAACAACATCTATTATTTTAGTTTTAGTTGAACAGTAGCTTG